CAAGAGAGATAAACCAAAATAGTACTGATCATCAACTAAATGATTTTAAACACGAATATTAAAGAAGTATTTTAGATGCGATACAAATCGATTTTGAAATAGTTTTCGCTACACCAGTACCAAAAAACTTTTATCGGCACTGAGACAAAAAAAACTTAATCGAGACAATAGTACAAAAGCTCGTTTTCGTGCATCTATGCTCATGAACCTCAATTTTCAATCTATCTCAGTCATTCTCAATATTTACAGCATCTTGCAACTAGCGTAATTGTATAATATTAAAACTACTTTCTCTTATTGGTCGAATATTCCGAAAAATTGACTCACCACGGTCAAGTGAATAAAAGCTGAATGTTCTGGATAAAGTGAAATTTGTTTTACTTGTTACACAGTACGTTTGTTTTTTTCAAATGACTAGCTTCTTACTTTCGCAACAAGATAACACTATCTATTTCGTTTCTGTCCACATCATCTTCTTTTTTCGAAATCTTGTTAGATAAGCACTCTGTTGATAAGAACCACCCAGCAAGAGTCAACCATTCGCCGAAAGACAAGAGGACGACTAATATCAAAGAAGATACCTTTATTCTCATTCACTCCATGAAAAATGTGAGTGTCAGTATGGGTGTGGATGTAAGGTTTGGGTTTGGGTTTGCTCAGAACAGCAGAAAAGATACATACCCACATCCAAACTTGCGCTCACACCCACTCAAACCCATCCTCCCACACCTTAACACCCAGGGGTGTCAATTTCGGGTTCCATTCCCAGGTACAGAGTGTGGGTGTGGATATGTGCCGGTTAACAGCACACCCAGGCCTACACTAACACTCACACCCACACCTATATAAATACTCATTTAGTGATTTTTTAATTTGAGCAAGTCAACACAATGATCAAAAAAGGGTGTGGGTGTGGGTGTGGGGTGTGGGTGTGGGTTGGGTGTGTGTGTAGGTGTGGGTATGGGTGTGGATGTGGGTATGAATGAAGAGAAGACTAACAGTCACACCCACACCCACACCCACACCCACACCCACACCCACACCCACACCCACACCCACACCCACACCCACACCCACACCCACACCCACACCCACACCCCAAAATATAGAACTTGAGGACCTAAGGGTACCCTCCAAATATAGGACTTGAGGACCTAAGGATACTCTCCAAATATAGGACTTGAAGATCCAAGGATGCCCCAAAATATAGGACTTGAGGACCCATGGGTACCCTCTTAATATAGGGCTTGAGGACCTCAGGGTACCCCAAAATATAGGACTTGAGGGCCTAAGGGTCCCTCCAAATATAGGACATGAGGTCCCAAAGGTACTCCCATAATATAGGAGTTGAGGACCTAAAGGTACCCTCTTAATATAGGACTTGAGGATCCAAGGGTACCCCCAAAATATAGAACTTGAGGACCTAATGGTACCCTCCAAATATAGGACTTGAGGACCCAAGAATACCTCCATAATATAGGCCTTGAGGACCCAAAGGTACCCTCCCAATATAGGACCTCAGGACCTAAGGGTACCCTCTCAATATAGAACTTGAGGACCTAAGGGTACCCTTTAGATATAGGACTTGAGGATCGAAGTATACCCCAAAATATAGGACTTGCGGACCTAAGGGTACCCTCTTAATATAGGACTTGAAGACCTGAGAGTACCCCTCAAATATAGGACATGAGGACCCTGGAGTAACCTCAAAATAATAGGAGATGAGAACCCAAGAGTATCTTCGCTCACGCTCATGAGCGCTCATGAGCGTGTGCAGTACACATTTAAGACAATGATGATGATGAAATTTGTTCTTTTTGATGCATTACTATTAGCCCTCCCTTGCAATACGGAAATCTCGACCCGAACCCGAACTCGAACCCGAACCCGAACACCGAACCCGAACTCCGAACCCGAACTCTAAACCGAACTCTAAAACCGAACGCGAACCCGAACCCGAACCCGAACCCGAACCCGTACTCCGAACCCCGAACCCCGAACCCGAACCCTAACACCGAACCCGAACCCGAACCGAAATCCGAACCCCGAACCGTTCGGTCCGAACTCCGAACTGGAGTTCGGGTTCGTTGCATGCCTAGTCGTGCATAACTTTTACTTCATAAAATAGATTTAGAAATAAATCTTTACAATGATATGTGAATAAATAAAGCTTTAGATCACATTAGAATGTTACAAAAAGATTTCCCTACTTCTTAGTATTCTAAAAGAACGCAAGTAAAGCTTCTATTTCTGTTATTTTTGGATCTCCTCTTAGGAAACATATTTTTTAAATCAAACTTGTATTTTTTACTCGTAATCATCTCCCTCTAGATTTATATTAGGATACTAGTGCTATTGCAATCACATACTTTATCAGCTTTGAAAATATCATTTATTCCTTCATTTTTCTTTTATTTTTTGAAAATAAATGATTCATTTTCATTTATTTTTTTCAAAAAAACAAGGGCTCCTTTATTTATTTAATTTTATTTTTAAAAAAATCAATGATTATTTATCTTTTTTTTAAAAGAAAAGGATTTATTTAAATCTATTTATGGAGTAAAGATAAAGGGTCAACCCTACTCACACGCCACACCCACACCCATATGCAAAAGAACACGCAGACCGACATCCGCCCCGCACCCAGATCAACACATACACCCACACCTACAGAAACATCCACCCTCTCAGAGCCACACCCAAACAGCTCCACCACACATTCACAACCATACATCCGCACCCCACAGACACCCGTCCCAACAGCTACACTCCACAGCCACACCAACCCACACCCAAAATTCTCAAATTCCTAACTTTTAACCTTTGACGCTTGATATTTGACTATTATCCCGGCAGGAACAGACACTGAACCTTATATGTGCAGAATATTAGTGAGAAAAATTTGATGTCCTTGTCGTAGCTACGACCGCTAGTCTAATTGAGTCTTCTAAGCATATTGTGCATTCATAACGATCTATTAAGGTTTTGATAAGTGCTAAATCATGTTCTCTTTTAAAAACTTTTCGGTGGTATATATTTCCAACGCTTTGCTTCAAATCTGGCAAGAAGCGTAATTACTACTTTAAAATGTGTTTCAGATGGGTGGTGCGACATCCACGAATTCCCAGTCGGGTGAATTTGAACAGATCACGACGGATATATTGAACGAGTTCGAAAAATCACGTCAGAAGTTTCCTGAACTTTTTCCGAAACCATTATATGTACTAGAAGCTGTCGATCATAATAGGGATGGTGAATGGGAGCAACGATTGCGAGAGGCGAAGGAACACCATACTGGAGAACGTCTTACGATTATTCCTTATAATGTCGAAGATTCGCATTGGGTTGGAGTCATATTAAAATTTGACGTGGATGGGCGAATTCATGAAGCTGAATATATTGATCCAGTGGTGCAATCGGATCTGAATTCGGACGAGCTACAAAACGAATTTTCGAAAGTTTTCCCCGAAGTTCCTTTACAATCGAGAAGTTTTCAACAACACGATGGCGAGCATGAAGATGCAAGCTTACTTATTAAAAGTTTAATACAAGCAATCCAAGAAGACGGTAATCAATTAGTTTTTCGCGAAAGATGTCGAATACTAGAAAGTCGATTAAAAGAATGTTTCGAAGAATTGGAGTTCAGTAGTGTTAACGAACTTGAATTTGGAATAACGCAAATCAAACAAGACATTTTACGATTCAAGGCAGAAGGAAAAGAAAAACTGGTACAAAAACGAGAAATCACTTTACTTGAACTAGAAAAACTTCAATCGTTAGTTGACGAAATCAAAGCACTGAAACCAGCAATTGTTTCAGATTATAGTTATGAGAAGCTAGAAAGTCAATTAAAAGATAGTTTAGAAGAACTTGAACTACAGAATACAGAAGAGCTTGGGAAACGAATAATGCGAATAAAACAGGACATTTTACAATTCAAAGCAGAAGCGAAAGAAAATCTAGTACAAAAACGAGAAACCACTTTACTTAAACTAGAAACAGTTCAATCGTTAGCTGATCAGATGAAAGCGCTTGAACCCGTGGGAGAAGACCTAAGTGAACGAATAGAGCAAATAAAGGAACACAATATACAAAATAGAGCCAAAAGGAAAGCAAATGTTGTGCAGAAACTAGAAAAACTTCAATCGTTAGTAGATGAAATGAAACCATTTGAGAACGCCTGTAAATCACATGAAAACTATAAAAAGTTGGAAAGTCAATTACAAGAATGTTTAGAAGAATTGGAGTTTTGTAGTGTTAACGAACTTGAATTTGGAATAACGCAAATAAAACAGGACATTTTACGATTCAAAGCAGAAGGAAAAGAAAAACTAGTACAAAAACGAGAAATCACTTTACTTGAACTAGAAAAACTTCAATCGTTAGTAGACAAAATGAAAGCACTGGAACCAGCAATTGTTTCAGATTATAGTTATGAGAATCTAGAAAGTCAATTAAAAGATAGTTTAGAAGAACATGAACTACAGAATATAGAAGAGCTTGGGAAACAAATAATGAAAATAAAACAGGACATTTTAACAGACAATTCGTCAA